TCTTAAATTATTTATTGTGGAGTTCAACAATATAATGTGTGTAAATTATTTATTGTGGAGTTCAATAATATAATGTATGTGTAAATTATTTATTGTGTGTGTGTGTGAAAATCAAATTAATAAAAAAAGATAAATTATGTAATATATTAAAAAAATTGAATCATAACTTGTATTAAATGTAAAATATCAATTTCTTAATATTTGTGTGAAATTCTTAAATATTAAACAAAATATAACAAGAAAATACGTGGAACTACATCTAAATTTCATTCTTAATAAAGTGTGTTAAAAATATTTATCTTTAATTTTATTCATATCGAGAAATGAAAAAAAAAATCCCTAATTCCAAATTCAGCTTTTATAGGCATGTTCTTTGGATTTAGTAAATTGAGTTTCTAAATTATCGAGTTAATTCTATCAAAAGTTACTCGAGTTAATTCTAAATTATTGTGTGTGCATGTGTTAATTATATTTAATAACTAATATTTTATATTAAATTTTAACATCTAATTATCGAATTAAAAGTTCTTAATACGATATCAAGTCTACAAGGTTTTTAAATCACTAGGGTTAGCTTAATGATTGGGTGGAGAGAGATTGGAGTAATTAGAAGCATGGAGACCTAGGTTCAATCCTCGACCATTAAATTATTTTATATTTTTTCATTAATTCAAATCAACGTATAAATATTTTTATAGTTATACGTCAATTTGAATTAATAAAATAGAGTATTAAATAATTTTTAATTTTTTTAAAAATTTCTCAAACTTGATCTATACGTTATTTAATTTAATGATTAGATCATTAAAATTTAAGTAGAACATGAATTATTGAGTAAAATATAAACAAACTTATCTTGAAGTAAGTAAATCCCTCCTCGTATTAACTCATTAAGTGTCTACATTTTTTTTTGGATAATTTCTAGAGCTGTCAAAATGGGCTGTGGCCCGTGGGCCAACCCAGCCCACCTTGAAAACGAGTCGGGCCAGACCAAAAAAATAGAAGTTTTATAGTAAGTGGGTATATCTCAACCCGGCCCACTTTCACCCGGGCCGAACCCGTGGTGGGCAGGGCAGCCCACTAACCCACTAATTTTTTTTGCAATAGAAATTTAAGTATGATTTGTAGTTAACTTTGTATGATGGGATATTGAAAATTTTTATTTTAGATTTTTATCATGATTTGTATTTAATTTTGTATGATAAGTTATGACTTATGGCTATTTATGATACTAATTTTATGACTATTATGTTAATTTATAAATAATTTATAATTTTGAATTTCATTGGTAATTTTTTTTTAATTTTTGGTGGGCTGGTGGGCTAGCCCATATAATCCACCAACTCGTGGTGAGCCAGGCCAATTTTTTTTTGAGAAAATTAAAAGTGGGTCGGGTTGGGTTGGCCCATTTTTAAGGTGGGTCAAGGTGGGCCAGCCCACATGGACCGGGCTGGCCCGTTTTGACAGCTCTAATAATTTCATACTTAAAATTATCTCTCAAATTACTTTTTTCTTTTTCAAAAATTACTTTTTTTTCAAAAGCTATCCTTTTAACGACAACTATTCAAAAAAATTGTTTGCACCCTTATTATTAAGGGTTCACTTTTATTTTATTTTTTTAAAATATACAAAGTGATCTTAATAATATATATATATATATATAT